TGTGAGGATAAATATGTTAAAGATTGTGAGGTGCTCTGATACCTTGGTGACGGGGCCAGAGAAGTACAGATGACTGTAAGGATCACATTCACACAAACAATTGCAAAGTTGAATGAATAAACACTTCCTCAAGCCCCTTGTTTTTCAGGGCTGTGTGAATGGCCCTGAGCAGTAATGAGATGGATTCACATATGGACTCTGGAATCTAAATGGCTCAGGACTGATGCTTATTTATGGTTTATTTATGGGCCAGATCTTGCCCGAGCGATCCTTTCGTGGTCTTGAAATAACACAAGATCTGGGCTTTTTGCTGTTTCCACCACTTGGGATTAAGAAGACCAGATGTCACAATATTAGCTCCCTCCTGTTTACAGATCCCATGGTTAAAAATAAAATAAAAGCCCTATGCAAAACCAGGTAGACAAGGACGCCACAGTGCCAGTGACTGGATTCTTACCTTGGCAGTAGGAGAGAGGGAGAAATTGCCATGACTGCAAAGTGGGCATGGATAATACCCAGGAGGCCCTGAGAGAGCATTGCTATTTGGGAAAAGTGATGCCTAGACCTCCTTCTGTCCTGCTGAATGAGTTGACCCTTGCACATGACAGAGTTATTTGAATGTCTGATTACTGGGCGTTTCCCCCTCTCCTAGAGAAAGCCAAGGATATTTATTGCAATAAAAGAAACTTCAAATCCTATGTCAATGCTCCCCGGTGAATGCCAATTTGGCATGGACTGGACAGCAGCCCTGGGAATTCAGTGGGACAGAACCCGCTTCTGATCCTGTGAATTTCATTGTGCATGTACCTCAACGAGCAATGCCTGGTTTAAAACGACCTCTGAGGCCCTGCGACGGAGCCCAAACGAATTAATCCTCTCCCCAAACAGCGAGGCCTGCCAATTGATCTCTGTTGTATTTGTAGGTTTCGGATTTTAGATAAAATACACAGAGGTATATTAGAAGCCGTCAGTATTTTTGGCAGGTTCATTTCAACAACTCAGCCTGTGATTAATAACTCTGATTAAATACTTTACATTTTCCCTGGCTTATGTTCCAGTTTTTCCGTTTCTAATCTGATTCAGTCTCTGTACCCTCTTTGTTCTAGGATGACCTTTGAGACTCCAGCCTGTCTTGCATACAGTTCCACAGCTGGGTTAGGAGGGGTTTTTGCTGGATGCATAAGGTCCTGTTGACAAATTGATTATCTCCCCTGCCCCCTTGCAAGTCTATTTCATGAAAAAGTGCTCAACGCCCGGCTGTTTGTAAGAAGCCTGGGATGTGTCAATCACCACCACCAGACACCGCCGCGGCTCAGAAGTTAAGCAGATGGAGAATTTACCTTCTGCGGCTCTAAAAGATCAAGTCCCTGCCATTTGAGCTAACCTGCTAGCTGTATATGGCCTCAGGGCATCTGCCGCCCGTGGTGTATTCGCTCAGCTTCAGAAGTCAGCCTTTGCTACATCCATAGCACACAGTCACGAGAGTGAGGGCCCATGAGACCCCTGTGGGATGGAGACAAAGGGGGGTTTAACCCCAGGGGCGTCCCTTGTCCCATGGGTGGGGGGTGGTTGGAGGAAGAGAGCGAGGTGACGGGGACGCCGTAAAATGATCAGAGTTCAAGTTTGGGTTAGAAAAGCCTCTGACCCTGGTGGATTTTCCCACCGCCGCTGGATCCCGGTATTCGCTCTACGCAGCGGGGCCGGCAAACCAGATCAAAGAACCCGCCGGTTAATCTCCCCTCGGTTGCTCTGTTAAGTGGTTGCCAGCATAACATCATCCCACAGGGCCGGAGCAAATGGAGACTAGCTCCTGGGAACTCGGTGGGGTCCCTCCCGGTTGGCAGCAGGGAGCAGAGTTTATCCCACAGGATAGAATGAACAGCGGAGCCTGCAGACGGCGGAGGTCAACGGGAGGGCTCAGACAGTAAACGCTCTGCTCATACAGAGGCCAGCCCTCAGCCGCCTGACAGCTCTGGACACTAGGCAGGTAAATATTTCCATTGCCCTGGGATGGGTGCTGCCCTGTGCAGCGTCGGAGAGGGAAGATGGAAGGAGCTTCTTTCCCCACGCAAGAGCTGGAGGCCGGATCATCTCCTATCCATAAGGGGAGCTGGCTGAAGGGAATCCTGCATCCCTCCTGGTTGGTCAGCAGGAGGCTGCAGTCTGCAGGAGGGGTACATGCCCGGGCCATGCTCCCCACAACCTCTGCCCTCCTGCCCAAGCCAGGTCAAATCGGCCTCAGCCATGCTCTGGCCAAGGCCCCTAGTGGTTGGTCTTGACACTGCCCCACTTTGGAGCCCGTTCCTGGAAAGCCTGCCGGAGTCAAGCCAGTCCCCGCCTCCCGCTGACGTCCGTGCAGCACCTGCTGCAGAAGGGGAGAGGGAGGGGGCGATGCTATAAATGCGAAGGGGACAGAACTGAGCCCTAGAACGTCACTCGTGCCCTGGGATCCTTCGCCGTGTTTTAGGATGGAGCTGCCCCGGGTGCCCTGTAGAGCTTGGGACGTTTGTCTCCTCAAAGCTTTGCTGGCTGAGTTTATGGGCACTGGGATCTTTCTCTTCACCGGGTTGGCCTCCATCACTCCCTGGACTCAGCCTGCAGTTGACCCAGGGAATCCGGGCATCACTAGCCAGAGCCAGTCCTCCGGGGCTGGTTCTGAGCCGAGCGGTACCATGTACTCAGCCGTTGCTGCCACCCCCAGCCTGGGGGACGTGGGGACGCAGGCTCCTTGCAGCTTGGCTTCCCCCAACCCGCTCCACGTGTCGCTGGCCTTCGGGAGCTCGGTGGCTCTCATGTCCTACTATGCCTTGCCCCTGAGCGGCGGTCATCTGAACCCGGCGGTGACCGTCTCCATGCTGGTGGCTGTGAAAGTGAGGCCAGCCTGGGCCATGTGCTACATCCTGGCACAGCTGCTCGGGGGCATCACCGCCTCGGCTCTCCTCTACGGGCTGACTCCAGAACATGCCCGGGGGGAGATGGGTGTCAACAAGGTGAGTAACGAGTCCCAGGGCTCTGGGGAGTTGGTTCTTCTAGGAGAGGTCCCAAGCAGGAGGTGGGCCATGGGCATTAGAGATGGGCCTGGATAAAACCCAACTCTGTGCGGCCCTAGACTGGGTGGGAAGGGGGCTCTGAACTTTGTGTCGGAACCAGTTTGTTCTGACCCTTTCGAAATGACACGGTTTGGCTTTTCATTTCAAAACAATGTTTCGTTTTGAAATTGAATTAGATTTACAAACCAACCGAGCAAATCAAAAACCAGAGGCTGAAAAACACCGAAAGTAGAATGCAAAAGCTGAAAAAAAATATGTTTCTTCCTTCCCCCCCCCCCCCCCACCACCATCTTGTTTCAGGTGTTTTTCAGTCTGAAAATAAGTTTTTGTTGTTGTTTTTGTTTATTTGTTGTTTCAGTCAGAGCAACTGAAAAAAAATCCAGTTTCGGTTCAAAACGAATAATTTCCCCCCCAGATTTTTTGCCTTGGTGACCAAA